GGGGGGGGGGCTGTGTCCCCAAGTTTCAATAATAATAATAATTAGTCTTAAAAAAAAGTTTTATCCCTTCAAAATAAAAATAAGAGAAGATATAAATGAAGTCATCTATTTTCCTGTTTGTAATCACTAATCCCTCATATCATACATGATGTTGTTTGTGTGTATATTAAGAAGCTATGTTATATGTTCTACAAAAACAACATTGGGAACATGAAACTATGCAGGAGTAACAGAACAGCTCTAAATGTCTCTTAATGAAAGAAAGAATCCATTAAAATGTAAATAATGTTCAATACTATAATACTAATCATGGAATAATAGTCAGAATTTGTGGACTATTGTATTACAGATACAGTGGTCAATCAATTAGCCAATAATAATATTCAGAGCCCCCCCTCCCAATATATATATATATAGCAACTATATTAGCAAATATTATTACTTGAATAATTACAACACAACATACAATTTCATTTTAAATTAGGGGAGTATTGGGGGCCATGTCCATCTGATCACTCCTTCATTTTTTTGTTAATGTCCAATATATAACACTTTAAACCTGAGTCAGACAATAATCTGCAAGGGGGGTCCGTGTCCCTGAGTTTCAATAATAATAATTAGTCATAAAAAAAATTAGATAAAAATAAAGCTAAAACTAATTATTGACAGGAGATAAGATATAAACGAAGTCATCTATTTTCCTGTTTGTGCTACTATAAGATGTAAATATATTAAGAACTAACAAGGGGGGCCGTGTCCCCCTCCCGAGTTTCAATAATAATCATTCATACAAACGATCACTGTGTCCACACCTGATCTGTGAATATGACCTTAATCAACCATATTTGAGCAGGAGAAAACATATAAACAAAGTCACATGACAAACAGCTTTAAAATGTCTCCTAGAAAGAATCCATTAAAATGTAAATGTAAATAATGTCCAATACTATAATACTGGAATAATCAGTAATCAATGATAATAATCAGTGGTAGCAGATCAAATTGGGGAGGAGAGGATCCCTCCAATATGCGTAATTTACGCACAGCTGGGGAGGAAGGGTCTCCCCCGCTATCCACCTACAGGTAGTTGTGTTCTGGTGTCACATGGTCCACAACAGGTGTCGTTAATTTCCTCTGACAATAACAGCAGGTAAACTACAACAACGACAGCTTAAAACACTTGATGTTCTCACAGTAACTTCTCATTTTCACCGATTGTTTGTTGGATTGGATTGTAGTCAACAGACGCAGCGACCCAGTGTTTGTTTGTTTGTTTGTTTGTGTGTGTTTGCGTCGGCCGTTCAGCCTCTGACTGACCTTATAACTCTCAAGAAACTCCAGTTCTTCCTCTTATTTTCCTCCACTTTCTGTCTTTATTCCCCTCGTTCGTCCACGTGTCTTCATGAGCGAACTTATCGCTAATGAAAGGTTTTCAGCTGCCGCGCATGCGTCAACGTAATTGTAACCATCATCATAATTTTCTTCTTGTTCTCTCAGGCCAAAGAGCTGCAGACTCTCCACAACCTGCGCAAACTCTTCGTTCAGGACCTCACCACACGTGTCAAGAAGGTACAGCACCTTCCTCTGATTGTTTAGGTCATTTAGTATAATTTGTTTTTCTGTATGTCTGACATGTGCTCTGTGTTTGCAGAGTGCAGAGCTGGACTGTGAAGAGGGACTTGGTAACGTGGCCCAGAAGCAGAAGATCTCGTTCCTGGAGAACAACTTGGAGCAGCTCACCAAGGTCCACAAGCAGGTAAAGTAACCAAACAAAAAGCAGCTTTAAATGAAAGAGAAACTCCTTATTAACTTTCCCCCCACTGCCCTCAGCTGGTTCGAGACAACGCAGACCTTCGCTGCGAGCTGCCTAAGCTGGAGAAGCGTCTTCGTGCCACGGCAGAGCGAGTCAAAGCCCTGGAGAACGCCCTGAAGGAGGCCAAGGAGAACGCCATGAGGGACCGCAAGCGCTACCAGCAGGAGGTGGACCGCATCAAGGAGGCCGTCCGGGCCAAGAACATGGCCAGGAGGGGTTACTCTGCACAGATCGGTGAGCTGACTGTTAGACATTTGAAACTTTGACAAAAGGGAGAACAAAATTACTAAATAATAATAATAATAAATCTGTGTGCCTCAGCAAAGCCAATCCGGCCAGGCCATCATCCACTGTCATCCCCCATCAGCACCTTCAGGGCCGGAGGCGTCTACACCCACAACTAAAACCACAACTGCAACATAACTGTAAGCAATCCTTTTAATTCCACTTGGTGTTTGACACACTTATACTTTTTATTTTTATCTTAAACTCTTTGTTTCTTCCTGCAGATTGACCATAAACAACTCGACGCATGCCCACCGCCCCACCTGGAACCACAAGCCCCGCCCCTCCTGTTGGAGCACCAATGGGAGGCCATCACGACAGACTGTCACCATCATCCAATCATCCATACTGTATATACCTTTAAGAGATACAACATATTTAATTTGCTGAACATCATGGCCTCATTTAGGAAATGTTGTTGCTTTACATCTTAAAAACTGACCAATCAAAATTATTATAGATTTTTCATTTATGCAACAGAATAAATAAAGCGTAACATTTATAAATGAGGCCCTGAGTTTCTTTCTGAAGGAAGTGAAAATCGACAAAGCTTGAAGCGTCAGGAAGGAAAGGAAAGGCCTGTAGATTTATAATTTAATCTTAAACCAGCATTCATGCATTTAAATGAGTAGTTTTAAATGAGAAGATTGATACCACTTTCATCTTTGTCCATTCAGTAAGAAGCAGCATGCCATAAAGACTGACTGGCTTCTAGCTGAGAGTGAGATGAGAGTGGTGTCAATCTTCTTGTCAACCTAGAGTCAAACTGATGTCATGTTTTTTTTTGGGGGGGGGGATTAACAGCCTGTGCCATTGCAGCTAACGCCTTTTGAGTTTCTCACCTTGATAAAGTTGGAGGTTACAGCTCGAGTTACAGCTCGAGTTACAGACAGCGAAAACATACTGACACACAGCTTGTTAAATTGCCGAGTATTTGTTCCCTCGCTGAAAAGCCCCCGGTTGCATTTCTGTACTAAAACCTTGTTGTCTTTGAAGTTACTGTTACCTCTTTTGTCTCCCTACAGGTAACAATCACAAAAAAGAAACACTTCTAGAAGTGTGTCCCAGTTTATATCTGAATATTCTGAGTTGTAGGACGCTGCTGTTAAGTCAAAAGGATTGTATCGTACTGTAGTCCTGCAGAGACACTGACCAGCCAATCAGCCGTTCCCTGGGACTCAGTACAGTACTACAGTCTGGTTTGTTATAACAGCAGGAAAAATCTCCGTAAGGCTCCTGATCAGCCAGTCAGTAGATCTTAACACATGGAGATAAACACCAAAAATAATTATTAATTTAATCCCGAACAATCCTTAAAGTCTGTTTTTCACTCTGCCACACCTTGTGCCTTTAGAAACACCTGAATCACCAGAATAACAGACTTCCACTGAATTACCTTAGTTCAGCATCTTCAGATTTATAAGAGTAACTAAAGCAAAAGATTGTAATCGATGAGGCCCCTTTATTCGATATATTTAAATGTCTGTGCTGCTTTCCTTCGTGCTGCCAGTTTAGCATGTTTTTGAATGCACACTATTATGGTCAGGTGATACTTTTGGTGGCAGAGAGCAGTGATACAAAGGGCAACCTTTTAGGCAACAGAGCATCAGGATTGTTGCTTTCATTGCCCCGGATGTTGCCAATGACTATCACAACTCTGAGCCCCATTATCAGCTTCTTTATTTGACGTTTGTGGCTGTTTTGAGTGAGCGGGACGGCTGCGGTCACACTGTACATGACCAATAAATGAATGTAACTGCATGGACTAGAGCTTGTGTTAAAGGCATGCTCAGGGAGGACATATTTGTATACCTGGTGCATTCATCATGATGTACATTTTGAGTTTGCAAAATGTTTTTTAGTTTCCTTGTTTATTTTGGCTGTGGCATCATATCTCTGAATATACCTACAACTGATGCAATTAAAGCTAATAAAGATATTTAACTTTGATTTTTTTGTCATTTTTAATAAGATGAAAGACTTTGTTGTCTTGTCATGATATAATCTTTAATCCCTATACATATATTTCCCTCTGTAACATTGCACATTATCATCAGTTTTGGACAGAACAGACAGATGGGGTATTTTGGTCAGGTCACAAGTAAATTAATAAAAATAATAAATAATAGAAAAATCTTCTTCACACAATCACATATAAAGTTCTACATATTGAATACAACAATGTAACAGGACAGTTAAACCATTGTATCTGTACAAATAGATTTTCACATGTTTTTATCACATATTTCACATACTTTATGATATACTGCAGTTTGGGCCAACATACAGAAAAGCAAAGGGTTATCGATGTAACCCCGGTTCTCTGAGTCTTTAAAAGTTCTTCGGTAAGTTTCTCTTCTTCAAACCTGGGTCAAATAATATTTAACAACAATGTTTTAGAGTGATTTTTGCCGCTAATATGGTCAATCCCTAGACAGAGTAAATAGTGTTTGTCCCAGGTGTGGTCTCAACATCAGTAGGTTCTTCATGATGATGCTGGCAAACAATAACTATGCCAACTTAAAGCCAACACACTGCACACTTTTACTGCAGAGAAAAATTAAATCAAGTTGACTTTAACAAACACTCTGGTGAACAACAAGGTTAGGGCTGGGTTTAATTTTAAAAAGCAACTTTTGACTAAGACGGATGGAAAAGATGCTGCGCGTTCATAATAATGCAGATAAAGTTTAGGGTTTTTTTTTTTAGATTATCCCTTTTGAAATGTCACAACAATAGTAAACTGGACTTACTTTAGTTTCTTGAAGTGTGTAATACCTTAACAGTCGTTAAGGTCACATGTCATCATGTGAGAGTTGTCAGTCACATGGGTGCAGGTGTGAACAGCAACCTACAACACAACCTACTCATTAGTCAGGTTTAGAACAATTTTTAACCAAATTCAGCAAAAAGAAATGCTTATCAATGTGTGTTTCCAGAAACTTTACCAGAAGGTCAAACTAAAGATTATTTCCATCTGGTTATTATTTTCTCAAGTAATGGATTTATTGTGTGGTGTTTGTTGACTAACTAATTGATTAATTGACTAATTGTTGATTTGATTTATCTGCATTATTGTGCACATGGTCTAACTTAGTCAAAAGCTGCATGGAGCAAACCAAGCCCTGGTCATTCAGTACAGGTTCAACACATATGCACACACAATCACATGCATCCTCAACCTTTCACACGACCATACAGCGCACCCACCCAAACACCCACGGAAACAGACGGCGAAGCTCGACGTACACGGTGTCCATTTTTGTTTTTACACCCAGGAGTCAGGGGAGCCGGTGAACTTGTTCGCCCTGTTTGAAGGCCTCCGTGTGGTGGAGTAGAAGTCCACGTAGTTGGTGTTGGCTTTGAATTGGAGCGACTGGCTGGCGTAGCCATCGGGGGAGGATGGGGTCAGGTGGACCGGTTCGTCCTCGTACTGCTCCTCTCCGTAGCCTTGAGGGGATGACAGGTACATTCTGTAGCTGTTGTAGTTCTTCCTGTCGGGCTCGTCGTAAAATGGCTCTGTGTGCTGGGAGAGGGACAACAATGGGATTTATTGAATGGGGAATTATACAATTATGTTAAGAGGTAGTGCTTCAATTTAATCATTTTCAGTATTGATTGATTAATTATTGTCTTAAATTAACTGAGGAATTGTTTGGTCTATATACTATGCAAAATTGTTTTCAACTAAGCACTTATTTAAAATCCTACTGATTGATTAAATAATCTGAATAATAATTTTAATAGGAATCAAAGCTAAAATCCAATACTTTAATGTAACAATTTCTTACCTGGGACCTTCTCAAATCCTCTCCTGACTGGGAAGAATATGTCCCAATGAAATATGGAGTTTTCTTCTCAGACCCTTAAGTGGAAAATTCAACAGCACAGAAGGGAGAAAAGGTGTGTCAATTTGGTGTTAATCTGGTGGCAAGTGTGTGTTAATGAAGAAACATCAGTGCAATCAATACGAACCTGTGTACTGCCGTTTGTGTAAACTGTTGTCTCCATAATACGTGTCGAGTTGCATAGATGACTGTGCCCTCTGATAGTTTGTACTGTGTCTTCTTATCCCGAGCATCGCTGGCGAGGATGTTGCGCTACCACCTGAGAAAATAAAAGACAAAACAAGAAAAAAAAAAATCAGAAAAGGCATAAAAAAACTTTAAAACGACCGTCAACTTGACCTCACTTACCGGATCTCTTACCTGATTGGATGACGGGGGACATCTGCAGCGGGCTGGTGGGCAGGGTCGGCTGTGAAAGGTAGCGGTCTCGCTCCAGAGTGGAGACGGGAGTGACAAAGTGAGTGTAGTTCCAGCCGTCCTGCACACACAAAGTTCACATCAGTTTAGTTACAAATAAGTCGGAACAATGTTTACAGTTTCTTTCCCTACAACATTATAAAGTTAAATCAATTGTATTGAGTTTTTTTTCACCAGGAGCAAGAAACATGATCACATCAATCCTCTCTGAAGATTTTACTGATTACTTTAAAGAATCTTCATGGCCTCTCCCTCTGTCACATCTCTGACCTATTAGTACGGTACGTGCCGGCTCATGCTTTGAGATCCTCAGGCAGAGGTCTTCTGTCTGTTCCAGAGGCCTCGTTAAAAACGAAATGGGACACAGCTTTTTGCAGCCGACGCTCTGGAACAATCTGCCTGAGGAAATCAGGTCGGCTGAGTCAGTCTTTTCTTAAAACATACTTTTATCTAAGAACCTTTCCTGATTTTACCTCTTTTTGCTTTATCTGGCTGAAATGTTCTTTTAAAGCTTGATGATTTTATATGTTATCATGATGTACTATGGTCTTACCCTGAATGATAAACAGATGATCTGCTCTATGTGTACAGAACATTTCTACAACTCTTGGATTACTGAAATGGTTTTTTAACCTGCTAAACTAAAAGAATATGAGTTAAAAGAAGAGTGTCTGTGCTGGTACCGACCTGTTTGTAGAGGCTCCTCAGCTCCCTGTACTGCCACAGCGTGTTCAACACCTGAGCCGCTGCCTTCACGACCTTCATCGAGTACCTGCAACATCAAAGTGAATCATTTTAAGGATAAAAAATTAAACAGAAAAGGGAAAATATTATTAAAAATTAAACATTTTCATCACAGGTACAAAGCAGCTGCTGTCTACATGAAGTTTCTCTGCGGTTTCGTACCCTTTCCCTCGACCTTTGCTGATGTCCACCAGCTTCTCGATGCCTCCGCTGTCGGCTAAAGCTTTGGCGTTCTCCATGTTGCGGCTGGTGACCTCGTGCAGCGTGCAGCACACTGACGCCACCGTATCGTCTGACAGCACCGACGGACTGCCGCCGGGCAGCCGGTTCACCAGGTCCCGCATGGCGTACTTTCCTGCAGGAAATATGGACTTCATTCAGATATTTAATTCAGTTTATTTTCAGTTTAGTTTTTATTGTCTAAAAAAATTTATTATTAGCTTCAGTGTTTAGGTTTTTCCATTTTTTAAATTTAGGGGTATTTGTCTCAATAAACAAGTGCACCAATGCCTTCTCTAATGCTTATTCTGTGGACATACTTGCACAATATTGTTTCAGTTAGATTTCATTCTTTTATAAAGACTTCAACACAAGACAAGTTGCGTTGTAGTTGCATCATTTCACCCTCTCTTTCTAAATGCCAGACAGTAACTACGGTGGCTGTAAAAAAAAAAAAAACTCCACTATTGCTTGTAGGATGACAAGCTGAGGAAGAGGACTGTCAGCTAGTGGTATGTAGGTATGTAAGGTTTTAATGTTTGCACCAAATTTGTTTACAGGCAGAGCGCTGACTGAATAGTTTGATTTGGTAAATGTCAGTTTAGTGACCTCTTTATTAGTAATTTATCTGGTAATTCCAGATATTTGCCATCTTCAGGAGGGACCCTAGTTCATAATGTTTGTACAGAGAGGAAAAACACCTTCAACACAGCTGTTGTCCATAAGGGGGCGATGTGTTATCACCTTTTCAAGACTCAGTCTGATTGGAATGAATGGACTGTGATGAGATACAAAAATCTGTCTTGAACAAGCTGTTGTTGTTGTTGTTCCTGACTGACGTGTGAAGAGGATCTTTTCACAGTTTGAGTTTCTGGGGATCAATCTGTTATAGAGTGTGTGTGTGTTTGTGTGTGTTTTAGTGTGTGTTTGGACCTATCAGCTCCTTGTTGCGACTGTCCAGTGCCATGTTGCGGAGAGCAGTGGCGACGGAGCAGACGACCCGGTCGTTGTCCATCCTCAGCAGCTCCACCAGGATGGGCAGACCTTTCTCTTTACGCACCGCTGCTCTGATGTACGCTGAGAACTGGACACAAACAGTACATATTGTTCTCAGATACTAGATATCTTCTCTTTTTTGGGGTACTTTTATATTTTTAAATGAGTGGTGGTATACTGCTAAAATGGTATTCTTCTGCAGAAAAGCATGTACAGTAAGAAGTCCCACCTTCCAGTTTCCAGCAGAGAGGTTCTGCAGCGACCCGGCGGCGCCCTCCAGGGTGGCGGGGTTGGAGCTCTCAGCCAGCAGGTTGAGGTACGGCTTCACCACCATCGGGTGCCACAGCAGCTCTGCCCCCCTCAGAGACTGGGAGAAACCCGGGATCGGCCCAACGCCGTCCCACTGCACGAAACACACATTAAATATGTTTTTAAACTCAACTTCGACTCCTTATGCAGCTTCTCACATAAGGATGAAAATGTGTTTGTACCTTGTCGTCGGGCCAGCCGCCCCGCTTCCTGCCACGCCTCCTCTTGCCCCAGCAGAGGTAGTCCAGCTCCTTGGCTGGGGAGGAGAAGCCAAGCAGGGTGTCTAGCTCCTGGTTGCCGAGGAGACGAGAGGAGGGCATCTCCACCTCCAGCCGGTACGAGAGGTTCCTCAGGGTGCAGACACTGTTCTCCACGATCTGAGAAATATAAAAGTCTAAATATCTCAACAATCAGAGATCAATGGGAGAGCTTTTTATGGTGGTGTGAATTATTATATACCTCTTTTACATTTTAGGGTTAAGCTGGGTTCGAGTTATGTGGAAGCTGAGCCATACTTCTACTTGATGCAATTGTTAGTAGTAGTGGGCCGCTGTGTGAAAGTGTTGGACCACGTAGTGAAGCCAACACGGACGTAACAAAAACTGCAGTCCCAGTTTAACAGCTGGCTCCAGCAGTGAGTCAATCCCCATAAGGCCCCATGTTAAAATACTTTACAGCAGAAATAAACATGTTTACAGCCTGTTACAAAAAACAGTTTTGGTCTCTATAGTAAATTTCCCCGTTCATGACAACAGTCTGAGGTAATGAGCTCTCTCTCCTCTCTCCACCTCTATTTAGACAACCCCACAAAGCTCAGATTATAACTTGTACCCTGGTTAAGAATTTGGTTAAGGCTGTGTCAAGGTCAGGTTATGGCGAGGGTAATACTCCTGGGAATAAATTGTGACAAAAAGTGTGTGTTTTTGCAGCACCTTGCTGTCGTAGTCGGAGGTGTTAACGCAGGCTTTGAGGACGTGAAGCAGCGAGTCGACGAGACCTTCACAGCAACGCAGCTGACTCCTCGCCTCCTCTCCTGCTGAGCTCAGGTTCCTTACACACACACACACACACACACACACACACATAAGGAGCCACACATTAATTCAGAGTGAGGTGCAGTGTGTGGATTCCCCCACAGGGTGGCTTTAAAAAACCTGCCCGGATACAGTAAAGGAAGGAGCTGATCCTCCAATAGGAACCTTCAGCTGCTGCTAATGGCGAGCTGACATGAGAAGACTGCACAACAGCACATAACTCCCACAATGCATTTCTATACTATCAATCTACAGTCTCGGTCAGTCTGAATGCAGAGAAATGCTGGAGGCTGATTTGCACAGAGAACTAGTTTCCCTGCAGCACAGAGTCACTTAAAGCTGCCTTATTAGAGGAAATAACAACCATCAGAAGATGTTTAATGAAGCCTTGTTTGATAAAAGTTATTGCAGTGCAGCTTGTTTTTGCTTTTACTGGCTATAGTGGATAATCTTCATCTTGTTATTACTCGTCCGGTGATGTAACCTCACAGTCAACATACTCATTACTATAATGCTCAGTGAGCTTTGGGAATTAATTAACTTGCAGCAAGAACAATTTTTGCAAGGTAGCACTTCAGGAAAGACACCTGGCTTTGGTCTTGATTGGCTCCCGACACTGAACAATGACTGGCGCCAATCCAATCAGGCCAATTTGTGGCATTCGGGCTGGGGAGTCTCCACCAGGCAGGTTTAATTCATTTGATTTAGAGAGGATGGTGCCCAATCAGAGTTAAATTCATTCAAAAGATTCTTCTCTCAAGGGGTCTCCCTGTTTGCTTAGTAAATGAATGGTTACTCCTCTGCCAACATAAACTGATGGATGGTAGAGATGGGAAAGAGTCCTGTGTTTTATCTGACCACTCAAGTTGGTCGTATGGCTACAAAGTTGGTCTTATGAGGGTTAAAAATACTGTAAATTGTTAATAAGGGCATTTGCGTATTACAACACAAACATAAAATAGGAAAATGAAAAAAGGCGCCACAGGCTGAAACTGATTTGATATTTAATGTGTCTGATTTGTCTGACCAGGAAGTTGCTGACCTCTTTGTGTGGTGCACTTGATGAACATGCATGCAGTAAACACACTTTACACACAGCAAAATATTTTGGAAAATCTGCCCTGTATGCGTGTGCTGGGACAGGAATGGCTTCAGAAGGTGCCTGAGAATCCTTAGATGTTTAAGATTTGAGTCACTGATAGTTGTCAGTAAATCCAATGATACACAGTAAAAGTGTATGGGGAACTTTATTGTCCAAAAACAAGAAATATAAAACAGGGTTACCCACAGTCAAACTCACTGTATCCATGGCAACATTATACTGTTCACACAAGAACTGACTTTTAACATTCTTCAAAATACTGTCTCATACTGAGTTCAAGCACATATTCATTACAAGCAGTCAGCAGCTCGACTTCCTGGTCACACAAATTGGACACATTAAATCAAATTCAGTCTTGACTTGTTGGATTCACAAATGAATAATGAAATAACTGATTGTGTTTTCCGCTTTTAGATTATATACTGAATATGGAAAGAGTCAGTGATACACAGATTCGTATATACTGCAGCATACTGGCTGTCTTGAATGTTGACATGAATGCTATTTACTAGTCGGAAACTAGTAATTACAGCAGCCAAATGAGTTTCAAAATCAGCATGTTCACACCGTCTTTATGAAGCCTCGGCAAGAGGCGACTCTTGCCGTCAACGGTTGGACAGCCTCCTGTTTAATTGCCCTTCCCGTTTCTGGCCTCATCTGGGACGACCCAGTCTTTACCAAGTGTTCTTGGGTTGTAAGATCTTCTCCACTCAGTGAGCGAGTGCTCCTTCCAGGGGACGTTGGACTCAATCTCATTAGATATGTTAAAAAGGGGAAGAGAGGCCAAGTGCTCGGCCAGTTGCGAGCTCAGGGAATCTTAAGGCGCTCTTGGAGATGAAAAATGTTTTTTTAAGCACTTTTAAAGAGAGAAGTTTTATTAAAAGGCTTCATTTAGTCTGGCATATTGGTTAAAATACACACCGGTTTCCACTTCACACAGTCTTCGACATCAGGGTGGAAACAGTAAAAAAAGACCAGGTACTCTATATAAACAGTACATTGGAAATAAGCATCAGTATCACGATTCATTTCTTTCACATATTTGTATCGGATTTTAATTGCTCATGATATATTATTACATTCCTAATCACAATAATACCAGAATATTAATATCATGAAATAACTGATGGTGCTCCAGTCCCATTAGGTTGTTTATAAAAAGGGTTCATTCAAACACTGATATACTAATGCATTCAATTAGATATTTATCTTCTCTCATTCTTTTTGGTTTTCTTGGGTATTATAGATCACTCACACTGGCCTAGGTTGGGAAATATAACTGTGCTATTTGAAGTTTTACAGGATTGTGTAAAACGTGAAAATCTGCATTATTATCTTTAGCTGAGGTGAACTGAATCATCTGGAATTCAAGGAGCTTCTATATCAAATTACACTTTTCGAATGAGCCCAAGTTAAGCTTTTTTATTTTCTAGTACACGTGAGCTGCCTGCTATTCTTCTGCAACTATCGCTGTAAAAAATTTGCAGACGATGAAGCTAAATCTTCAACCTCGGCTTTGACTTTTAAGACACGCTTTGCTGTTATTTGTCTCTAATGTGGTCAAATGCCTACTTGAGATTTCATGCCTGCTTAAAATCTCCATTACAGAGCCTCTCACTGACGATTATGCGTCTGTGATTATGCGCTGTGGTTTTACAGAATCATTAAAATGAAAAGCAGAGACAGAGAAAAGCAGCAGAGTCGAACAATAAATCCAAAAGTCATCCTTGCATTTCAAAACGAGAATCGATCTAATGAGCTGACGGCACGCCTGGTAACTCAACAGGCTTAGGAGGCGAGGCACTTTGTGAGATCTATTTTCATTAATAAGTGAGATTTGTGTGGTTTTAGGACAGTAAAGGCTGTACTGTGTGGTGATGATTATGATTAACATTGAGTAATGGGGGCGTCAGCAGTAAGAGTCTTTTACAAAATGTTATTTTTCCATTTTTCTATCAAACGGAGGATAATTTTATCATCACAGGACAAAAATCGACAAAGCAATACATTTTTTATGACACATTAAGCAGTGTGGGGTGGGGGTTTGTTTTGTTCCTCACCTCAGGCAGCCGGTGGTGTTACGCAACAGCAGGGAGGACTGGAACTTGACTTTGTGCTCGTCGCGGTGCGAGACGCTGCTCCAGCCCGAGTGGGGGATGACGACCGTGTTGGTCAGCGTGGTCAGAGCGTCGCGAATGATGGTCATCTTCACTGCGTCACATGAAGAGAGGTTCCACAGGACGCCTAAGGGTGCAAGGTGCCAAAAAAAGAACGTTTACAGTTTGCCAAGATGTCACGTCAGAAATCAGTGTTTCTTCTTGTTCTTACAGTGTGATGCTTGAGCTTCACTGTGCAGTTTGATGCTAGAAGGATGTTTTCACATTCATTTGCAGAAAGTTTCTCTGTGCTCACTGAAAATCTGATTTTAAAGCTGCAGCAGGTAACTTTGTGTCTTATATACTGTATTTTTTCCCTATATCCTGACAGCAGTACACGAGACAGATAATCTGTGAAAAGATCAGGTTCCTTTGGCTCCTGATGGCATTTGCAAGAATCCACCAGGACTGAACAAACACAATCAGAGCCAAGAAAGATATTAAGACGCTTTGGGTTGTATGCTTGAAGACAGTTGATTATTGAGTCTCATTCCCAATGTCCAAACATTTTACACCCTGGGAATGAGACTCAACAATCAACTTGGCTTTGATAGGTTGTTGGTGGATTCTTGCTATTAGGAGCACTAGGAGGACCCAGAGAAACCTG